TCTCATCTATCTTCCACCTTATTCTAGAATATAGACCACTTAAGTTATCGTAAGTCTCCTTACTTATTTTAATTTTTTCCTTTTCAGGATTAAGAGGTTTTTTCTGGTCGGCAGAATTATCCTTTGGGTCTAAATTGAAAGTTAAAGCAAGGCTGATAATTTCTTCTCCAGAGGAAGCAGTCGCAAGTTTTTTTTCTTGGTATTCGCAACTTAACTCGCAGTAATACTCATCTCAATATGGCTCTCCGGTAGAAATTAATCTTTTAGCAGCCAAAAATATACAAAGATACTTTTTAGCTCATTGATTAAGGTTGGGAAGGGAAATCAGAGTTGTCGGAAATTGCTCTAGTTGTTCTTTTAAGGCAGGATTGAATTTGGTCTTGACAAATTCTTCAATTATTTTGCAAATGTGACGTTTTTCTTTTTCATTTTTTTCCAGAAGAGATTTTTTGTTCTTAAGCGTTAACCTCTGCTTCATCCAACTGAGACTTCCGTCCTTTTTGCGAGCGAAAAGTGATAAGCTAGTTATTTTCCTTAACTCGGCCAACACTTCCCCTCAGTGGTTCCCAAATGCTTCCTTAGTATTTGGAAAGTCTAAAAATACCTCTTTATCTCATTTTTCTAGCAATTCCTGGTATCAATCAAAAAGTTGACTTGCAGGGTCATTCTTGCCCTTATATTTTTCTCCTATTTCATATCAGCGACCAGGTATAGTTAGAGGAAGCAGAGAAGGTAACTCTTGCTCAAATTCTTCTCGGCTTTTTCAAATTCTTAGTTCTACATACTTATTTATTTGTTCGGTCATCGCTTCTTCTAATTCCAGCCGTAATTCAGTGATTTTAGTTTTTGCTTCCGACTCTTTATTTTTTCAGGCAATTTTTTGGGCCGGGGTTCATTCAGATTGGTCTCTAATCTTTTCTAAATCGGCTAATTGTTGTTCCCGGAATTCCTTTTCCTCTTCTTCATTCTCGTTTTCACTAACAAATTTTCGATTCAAAATATCAGTAATTTCTTGCTCGGCTTTGTGAATTAATTCTGGGTCAACTTCTTTACTTCTAAATCCGATGCTTTCGAAAAAACGTTTAGTTGAACCAGGACTAACTTGCTCGGCAACCAACGCAACACCGGCCCCAGCAATGCCAGCACCCATTATCGACCCTATTATTCACGCAATGATTTTACCTCTTTTGTTGAATTTAACTATTTTTGTTTCTACCATAATTAATATAATAACTATTATTATACTCATTTGTAGTTGTTGTCTTCTTCTGTTGAGTTTGGGAATTAGGTAGACTTGTCGTAAAGTTGTCCACTAATAAAATTTGGCAATGATATATAACTTTACACCAATTAAATGGTCCGGCATCTTTGTCCCATAAATAAAGGGTTTGGAAAGTTTTTTAGGCTAAAAATAATTAAAAAGTGGTCCACCTCTCTATTTAGTGTAGAATTGTATGTCATTGCCTAAAATTTATCAAATAAATAACGCTCTTCCTTTTCACTCTTAACGGAGAAGTCTATAAAAATGTTCCTTCTTTGCCGCTTCTTTCATCATCCCGAGAGAAGCATTTGCCAAAACCCTTACTAAGGCTAAGTGAATCGGGAGGGTAAGCATATAAATAGATTTTTTTGTCCTCTCAGCACATTTCTTTTTTTAGTGCTCTGTTTTCGTTTTCTTGTAGAACTTTTTCAAGCCTTTTTTTCTTTATTAAATTTTTTTTCCATAATACAACAACGAGAACAATTAATAATAGTGCAAACGTAGTTAGAATAAATATTGCTGCCAACTTTTCATAAATGGAAATTCCATAGATAATTATTACAAATGTTCCGGTAATTCATTCGATAATTTTTTTATGCATGTAATAATTAAAGTTTGCTAATAACTTTTACTTATTTTCATAAAATCCATAATTCAACTTTTTAACCTCATCGGATATTCCATAATCCTTGTCTTCCATATCGCAGTAAGGAACATACAAAAGATTTTTATCCAGCAGAGAAATCAAAAATTTTTGCTGGTCGATAAATGGTAAATCTGTAAATTCTTGCTTGGAATTATCAATACTTTTTGGCTCTACCTGATAACTCAAAAAAGCAATTTTTTTCATTTGCTCTCATATTTTTCAGAGTTCAGCAGTATTTTTTGCTTCTTGGATTTGGCTAATAAATTGTTGATTAAACTCTGCTAATTCGCAATAAACAAAAGCACCTTTATTATCAATTTCACAAACTTTTCTAATTCTTTCTTTGGTTACGGTTTCAATATAATCCATTTGCTCGCAGAGGATAAATTTCCGGTTGCCTCCGTCTTGCTTATTAAGTTCTAATACCGCATGAGCCGTGGTGCCACTGCCCGCAAAAAAGTCTAAAATGATAGCATTTTTATCGTTTCCTACTACAGCATAAAGACAATCATAGACATTTCAAAGGGATTTAGGAAAAGTAAATTTACAATTTGGCACTAACTCTTTAATTAGTTTGGTCCCGTGTATAACCGCATTGTATCGGCTATCTATCCAAACAGTTTTGTATAGCCCAAACTCCTTGCCAATTTCAATTTCGTAGCCATCTTTTGTTCTTTTTGCTCGCAAAAATTCTTTCACTTTTTCTACACTTTGCCTGGCTCAGTCTCACCTTCTTTCGTTTCCTGCTTTATCGATCGGATAAACATAGAATTGCCCGTTTTTTTCAATAGTGGATTTTTCCGGATGATAATCATCAGCGACTACATCTCCAAAACCAATTATCTTGTCGTTTTCA